AATCAATACGCAAGGCACGGATCATTATAATCTGCAGGACCAAGTAATTCCTTGCAAGAAAAAAAGCCGACGAATTGGTCTATAATTGGGAATTGGAGATCTCGTAGCGTTAAGGAGGACGCGAGCTATTAACGAGTCACGAAATAATTTCCTGCTCAACCGATATCTTGGAATCGGCGCAATAACGGCACCGAGTGCACTCTGAACCGTGCTTGCATTCGAAGATAGATGACCCTTAATGGCGCCTTCGGGGTACAAGGGGCTCGATTCGCCGGCAATTAGAACACCTTGTTGATCGTCCGTGATCCAAATACCTGGATCCATCACTCTACTCGGTGTTAAATTGTTTCAAACTGAGAAGTTGCAATTATTTTATTGAGAATAGAATATATTTTGAATTCTTCATTTTTCCACTCTGCTACATATTTTCTCTTGCCTGACTTAGGCTTCCGGCCGGGCCATAAAGTCATGGGTCCTCTGACCGTTTCGACAACGCCGACTATATAGAAATATTTTTCCGGGTTTTTAGTCAGTCGAGCGACAGCACTGAATTTGTAACAGGATTTCACTAACGGTTTTTCGCCTACTTTTCTCTACTTTTCTCTGCAAATCGATTGAGTTCAATCTTTATTCGATAATTAAAGATACTCAATATATTTAAACAGAGGAAATTAATTGCAAAGGCAAATGTACAGGGTATCCGATGTAGCTGTAAGTCAAATTTCAGCTTCGAAAGGGTAGAAGATGTAACAAATTTCATTAGGCAAAATTAAGTAATAGTGTAATTATAATTATAATAGTGTAAGTATAATTTGTAAGGTGGAAACAAATTTTATAATATTAAGTACTGGTAGCTATAACTCTAACAATATTGTTCTTTTTCTTAATAAAATCCATGGTGTCACGAATACCTGACAGTGTTAATATAAAAATTCCATGAGGAGAAACCAGAAAGATATGTAAAACGAATTCGATTCGTTTGTTATCGCAAACGAATCCCAAGGCCCTAGTAGCAGTACGAGAAGACGATTCCTCGGGATATCAAGGTGTTCTCCGAAAGATCCAATAAACGAGACCTACGTATTCCGTATCGGGGATCGCGTATTACCCAGAAACGACAGGGAAAAAGGAACGATAAACCTTTGAAGCCCGTCGACGGGTAAACCTGGTTCGATATCGAGTTCTCTCTTTGAGCTTCGACCGTCTCCTGAGACGCTCTATTGCGAGCACATTGTTTCACGTATCGCGATAACAGAGAAATTTGTATTCACAGCAGACGTCGAGGGATTCGTTTTCCGCGTTATCCTTTATTCCCCATTCCTTTAAAAGGCTTCCTCCTCGCAAACGTTCTGCCCGTATTCAAACGTCGTTACCGTACGGGGGCCATCATAGAATGAAACCTTCTCCGTTGGGCCTCTGATCTCCTCGTTACCGTCAACGTGTCGACGATGATAACCTAACGTTATTTTATTCACCGAGAATTTATGGATTCTTGTAGAATCTTTTAGTCAAACTCGAATGAAAGGTTCTAAGGTTAGGGGCTCTAGTCCCCAATAAATTCCTAGTCCCCAATTTCCCTAGGCTCCCATAGGCTTTCCCTCAGCTTTCCCTAGGCTCCCATAGGCTTTACCTCAGTTTTCCCTAGGCTCCCATAGACTTTCCCTCAGCTTTCCCTAGGCTCCCATAGGCTTTCCCTCAGCTTTCCCTAGGCTACCCCTAGGGCTCTAAGATCTCCCAAAATCGAAGCATTCATTATCTACCTTTCGATTTAACCAAAATAAATTTACCTTATATTCCATAGTTAATTTACTTTAGCACAAATTTTCAGGACAATAGGTAATAGTAATTTTCTTTAATCAACCACTAAATATCGCCGTATGATATTTTCTCTTTTCACGTTGCCTTTGATCTCATTCGATATCATAGTCGCAATTCAAGCCCTAATCAGAGAACGTTTCGCGCAGAGACGCCCGGAGGTAGGTTGAAATTTTCATCGCAATTCCACGGAATAGCGAAACGTAACGTTCCGCCCGCCGACAGTTTTACCGTCGACTCTCTTTATTATCCCATTTCGTTTTCTATCGTGAAAATTCTTTATCTCGAGCCACGGTAGCGCGATCGTAAAGTGGCGCTCGTAAAATTATCTCTAGCTGGAGAAATAAAATTCATCGCCCGTAGCCACGATTTTCTCGACGACAGATTCACTTATATTATACTCTGGAAAAATCATAGCAACCGACAAAACAAAATTCTATACAACGTTTAATAACTATCAACAAATTTTAACTACGATTAGTTGGCTAATTATTAACAAATTATTATTGTAAATAATTATAACTATTATTTGCAAATTATTAGCGTAATTTTCTTAATTCTCAAGTATTGTATTCGTAACATACTTCATACGTGTTGTACACCATCCAATAGCTACACAACATGAAGATCCTATGGTGATAGTGGGAAGCTCATTAAGCTTCCTCGGCTTAACTCAAACAACGGTGCATTAAACGGATTTATTTATACAGAGGCGAGCACGGAAAAGCTCGATTAATATTCGAAGAGAGTTCTAGGGAAACTTTCCTCTCCGATATCCCTTAGAAATATTCTGAATAATTTCAAAGAACGTTTAAACTGCAATAAATGTTATTTTCATTAATTTTATTATATGAAAATTACGTCCGAATTATAATTTATAAATATACTGTTAACACAGAAATTAATTAGAAGAGCAATGTCTAATTAATAAAGAAACCATAGAAATTTAATTAATCTAAAATATGATTTTCCAGAAAAAGAAGATTGCCTATTTCTTTTTATCAGGCAATACGGTTTATTCAAGCAGATTTTAGCACACGCGATCGAACTCATTTTCCTTGGAGATTCGCCGGGAAATCTCCGAGAAAAATCGACACCAGGGATTCCGACTGAATCCAGTCGCCTACTTACACGGCCGCCTGTTTCGACCCGGTTTTTCTCGTTCAACCCCGCCAGCGGCTGCTGCATCCGTTGTGCTCATAATTCATCTCACCTACCCTTCACCCTCCCGCCCTTTCCTTTGGCCGTTTCGTTGCAGATCCGCATTCAACAACGAGTCGCCCCCGCGGAGTACAATTTCTCTTGCCAGCCGTCTCTTGTTTCCCTTCTTTCCTTTTTTCTTCCTTTGCTACAATATGTGCGTGCCAAAAATGCGTCTTCGCGATGCTCCCCAAACGCGTGTACATATACACACGTTTTTCTTCGTAATTAACATTTTTTCAAGTATTATGTATTTAAACGCGCCTATTCGAAAAGACAATTTTCAGGTTGTTTCTCGGTTAAAAGACACTGGGAAGATCGATGCAAAGAAAGGGAATTAATCCGAGGCAATAAAAGTGCCGTCTCACCGTCGGCGGAAGGTAATAACTAGCCCGTTGGAAGACGACGAGCTGGTTTGTACCGCGAACGGTGTGGCGAAAGGGGACGAAGGACGGAATCGAATCGATCCGAGTTATTGTGTTCTGGTGTGTATTGTGCTCGGCGAACAATCGCAGACACCGTGAAGACGACCGTGATGACCGTAATTGATGCACGTAATTGAGGATTCGCGATGGAAAGGAAGGGTATATCAACGCGATAAGGGTGTTCTCAAAGAGGGATGATTAAAATAATTATCCAAGGCAATTAAAAAATTATCATCCTCTTTTTTTATTTAGACTAGTAGAATTAATTCTGGACACTTTTAAATTTTTATTTTTATTATTTTTAATAATATAATCATTTATATTTTATATTCTAATCATTGTTTTCTAATTTTAGGTCGTCGCTTATATAAAAGATCAGTAAAAAGACCATTTACAGCCATATTTTTAATATACAATAAAAATTACAATTTCCACACATCAAAGGAAGTAGAAAAAAATTAATATTTCGTTGGATATACCACATCAGGCGTAAAAAAAAGTATAAACATTATATATTACAATAAAAATATTACTGTATCAATTTAGCATAGCAGAATACACATTTTCTGCACAAATATGAAATAAAGAATATTTTTATTCAAAGTGTCCAGAATTAATTCCACCAGTGTAAGCCTATATGAAAAAATCAAGCCTTAAAATATCTATTTGTTTCAAAGCACGATTGGTCAGCATAAGTAACATAATCACAGAAATCATTGGGGAATGGGTTAGCAGGCTTAACTAATCAATTAGGATCAGCAGGATCAGAAGTAAGCACTTAAGCTTTGGCATATAACTGACTGGAATTAAGCAATGGAGATTCAGTTAATCTCAATTAAACATTACGTTCATTGTCTAGCCGAATGGTTAAAAACGAAATCAAACCATCAACCCTTTATGGAAAATTTGAAATATTATTTTAATAAGGGATGATTATCTTTCAGGGGGTTAAAACATAGAAACGCGCGAAAGCGACGTATCTCGCGTTTGGCTCGCTCGAAAGCATCGAAGGCCTCGGCTTTCTACCTGATCGAAGGTTTAAGGCCGATCCACACGAGCGGAATCGATCTAGCTACCCTTATTCCATCAGACGAAACGAACCGCTCAACCGTGAATCCGTCGCACGCTCGTTCGTTCACGGATCGACACAATATCGATATACACATACATATATGGTGCTTTCACGGTGCGATCGTTCTCGTGCAAACGCACACTAAAGCCAGCCGGGTCGGTGTTTCTCGGTGTGGCGCGCATGGAAACTGTGTCAAGAGCCTTTCACGTTTTTCACTCTAACGTGTCCCGATATATGCGAGAATGCGTCCTCTCGACCGCCGCTCCCTTCTTCACGCCATTTCTTTTCTACCCTTCTCCGACGCAACGAATCCGTGCCAACGAAATCACAAACTCGAGGCAATTTAAACGGTGGTTAATTAATATTTTTTCCATTTCGAATGATCGATAGCATAAGAATATACCGATAACTATGTGTCGGTAATCAATGGTCATTTCTGTAGATGATCAACGGAAATGAGAAAAGGCAAAACGGAAATGTAGACTCACCGGTGACTGGAGCCTCGATGTCAATCATAGTCTTCTCCGAACGCAATAGGGCCGCTCCATCGTTCACTATACGAAGGGCTGCCGCCTCGTCGATCCTACCCTCGAGGATAAAGTGTTGCTTCAGCACTTCCGGTCGCGGTCGATTCGTCTGCGAATCGAACACCTCTGCCACTGTCAGTTTGTGCGACGGCGGAAAGAGTACATCTGTGAAAGGAGAGAAAAATTTTTCATTAGTAAAAATAAAATCAACCGACACGTTCTCTTAAGAAATTAACATTTTTCGGTTGGTTGGTTGTCAGACTAGCGTTGTATTTTTAGCTGTCGAATTTCTTTGTTTACTACATCCTTGTAAATGTCAAGATATTTTTTTTTAGATTATTTTTTGTCAAAAGCCTTGGAATTTTCTGTACGAGTCATTCGGTGACCGTCAATTTTGCAAGGATCATATTTGTAGTCTTTTTTTTTTTTTAAATTATTCAAAATGGTTTAAAATTGATAAGAATTTTAATTATTGAATTGTTAATTAATTGTTTCTTGTCAGAGTTAAAACCTAACATGGAGTAATTTGGATTAAACACATTTCATCATTGTTCTAGTTGAATGGAGCTTGATTTAAAAGTTCAATTTCATATATCGTTGAATAACGCTGAAGTGGTGAAAGATGTTTAATCAGTCATGTATCGCGATAAAAATTGTTGAAAAATTCAAGGAAATACAGAGTAATTCCTCTCAGGAATCATAAACTGGAATGTACGATCTGGAGCAGAATGGAAAAATGAGAACTCGTTGCCTTTGTAAATGGGGTCACTAAATAATTAATGTTCAGTTTAAATTCAACTCGTTACAGCTTTTGTTAAACGAACGTTGAAATAACATGCAAGGTAAGCATGAATAATTCATCGCGAAACCGTGGAAGTAATGTCATAATAAATTTTTCTAATTCCCAGGTGATACAAGCAACTAGCTAATGCTAGTGAAAAAATTATTTCAATCAAGATTTAAGATGGATATAAGATAACCAGGTTGATTTTTATTATCCTAGAAAACAGAGAAACATCCCCCACAGAAAATTTCTCCTAAATCCACAATCTTTCAAAAACACCACCCTATCACCGTTTCAAAATTTCCCTGTAACATAAAAAAAATATCGAATCTCGGAAAAAGCCAGAAAGTCACGTTCGTACCATAAAGCCAGTCCATTTCAGAAATTGCAGCGCTTATCGATGCAACGCGTCAGCCACAATTTCCTCCATAAAATAAAAAAAATAAAAAAACAAAAAGATAAAAACATGTGCAATCTCATTAAATTGCTTTTATACAGATTTATAATTGTGCGAATAGATTTCATTTAACGCAGGCGTAATTAATAGTTGTTAATAAATATTGATCTTGCTCGGCTCTCTCCAATTAATGCTTCGCACACATTTGCGATAGTTCGCCTGGCGGTCTCTCTTTCTTTAAAGATGATTTATAGCCGAGCATAACCGCTTTATCGTTGCCCATTATAAATTATTGTTTGCACACCGTTTAAAATTGAGAAATAAATGCAAACTTGAACCACTAATATTTCCTGTTTTACTTTTATCTATGATGAATTTTTAAAATATTAAATTATAAAAAGAATTAATTAGCAATTTGATCCTTTGATGTTCAATTAACCCTAATAATTAACCTCTTTAATAATATAACATATGCCAAAACTGATAACAATATATACAATACATAGTGAGTCAAAATGATTCTGCATTCACTGTGCAAGGATGAAAGAAATATTTTCCAAAATCCTTCTCTAAAAGTTTCAATAAATAGAAACAAAATTTCCCAACATTCACATCTGTTACCTGGCTTAACTCTACCAGCCACTTCCGGAAGCTTATCCCCTTTCTTCAGATTAGTTAACTTTATCAACGGAGAAAGTACATCTTTACGAGGCGATAGATCAGACACCTTCACGCGTCGCTGCGAGTACCTTGCCTCTCTGGAGACCATCTTCCTCAGGAACGAGTGAAATTTGTTCAAACTAGTATCCGAATTGTCATCTTCGAAAACATCGTCACTTCCCTCGCTTCCGTCGCTATCAGACGACTCCTCCTTCTTCGACACCGAAGTGTCTTCGCGAGTGGATTCATTGAAACTGACCTCGGATTCTCGAGTATTGTTCAAGGACACGTTGAAGAAATTCGAATTTGTCGAACAATAACTGGAATTCGCCCTACTGTCGCCGTTAAACGAATCAGGCTCGGATTCGTCCGTCGTTTTACTCACGGCGCTGGAAACAAGCGACTGATCAGAGTTCATCGACTCGCAGGAATAATTCTCAAGATCATCGGAGGAGAGATTTTTCATCCCGATCAAGCTCTGAGAATCTATGTTGGAGAGATTGGAATCGCACTCGTCCTTCGCCAAGCAGAGATCTGGAGAATGATGGGACTGAGAAGACATCAGTGTAGGGTTTTCAAGACTGAAGTACGTGGTCGAATTAACCGAAGAACATTTGCCGGAGAGAACACTGCTCTGACTGTATTTAAGCTGCTTCGTAGAAAGCTTGTTCGTCGGTTCGTTGTCGCCCGACGACCTGAAACAACTGCTCACTATCTCGTCCATCAGAGACTTGGACTTGTCTAACTTCTTGATGTAGTTCTCGGACAACGAATCGTCCTCATTTGCTATCGCGACACTCGCTGCAGAGACGTCAGACTCGGAAAAACTCTTTCTCTTAATCGAACTATCGTTTTTCGGAGACTGAACGCGAGGTTCGCATAAACTGACCGACCTGCGTTTATCTGATTCATCTTCGATCATCATCTCTCTGCTTTCATTGGAATCAACATCCGCAGAGGTGAACATTCGATCGAAATCTTCTACACCCTTTTCCTTAGCTCTTTTAGTTGAATCCTGCGTGATTCTGACATCTGATTCCTTCAATTTTTCCTTCGCTTTCTCCTGGCTATCTTGACTGACGTTGTTGTTGGGTTCAGGAATCTTCAGACTTCCCCTCCTTTCGTCACCTCCCAACCGGATCTCTTTTGTAGAAATATAATGCTGTGCACGAGGATAAATGTACATATAACTATGATATACCATCTCCTTTTGTTCAGGGCTTAGAATACCTCCAAAACTGACGTCTATAGCCTCCCTGAAGATGTCTTTACCTAGTACATCCTGTTTCTCAGCTGTTTCTGGATTCTGCTTCTGATACATCATTCTTCTATCATTGTTCCCGGCTTTGTTCACCTGTAATAACGCATAGAACACCTCGGACACTTCGCACAGACTGCGATTCAACACGGACAAATCGTCATCTGGAAGCTGCTCGCATTCTAACGAACTATTTACTTCCTCGCAGATAGATCCTGCTGTTGCTTGGATAAAACTGTCCGACAGGTCCTTGCGAATTTTATTCAAGGTTCTGTCGAATATTGGACTGATTGCAGGTCCTTCTTCGGACTGAGATTCATTGGCGTCCGATAGATCTACGGAGAGGAGACGTTGGTGTTCTTTGGCCAACGTCACCTTCAGGGTTTTGTCGTCTATGCCGTGTCTTCTGGGAATCGGATTCCTGACCGGGGTCAGAAATTGAAAGTTGAAGCGTTTTTGCAAGGCTCTCTTTAACTTGGCGATATTCCCCTCAGGTGATTTCTCATTCTCATCGCGGCCAGGCGATATCTGGTCTCCTTTCTGTTTCTTGAACGAATAACCCTTCACCGGGGTAGTTACCGGTGTATTTGGATGCTTAGGTGTTTCCATCTGGAAATTTTTCAACTTGTCAATCAGTTCTTCAATCGACTTCTTCTCTGTTGACGATTGTTGTTCTTGATCAGGCGTGTTAAATGTATCAGCTACGCCTAGTTCGAACGAATCTGACGAACTGCAACCGGTTTCAGACATTCTGATAGAAATTTTCTTTCTTCTCGCTTAGTTCGTCGATGAAACGAAAGTCGGACACTTGTGTTTCCTAAATTAGAGAAAATATGGTTAAGTCGAACATACCGAATAACAGAAATTTTGTGGTTCTTCTAATTAGTAAAAATTAATAAAAATAAAATTCACTGAAAAAAATTTCCAATATTTCTTGTATCACTCTACCTTTTCCTATAATGGTGGAACAAAACGGTTTTCAAATTCCCATTTAATGTAGAAAAATCTCAAAGAAAGGTTTCATGAATAACATTTGTTGAACACTATTATCAGACACAATCAAGAGCTTCGTTTCTCTGAAATTTTTCAATCAATTTATGAAACTGTTGAACAACGAACAACGGAATCTTTGATTACAAATTAAAAGAATCACTTGAGCCAGGTAATGGCGACCTGGAATTGGAACAGCTATCGAAACAAATTCAAACAAATCGTTATCGACCTTCTCGCTAAGGCAACATACCTTCGTATTTATAACACGAAAACGTACACAGATGCAGTGAAAAACACAAGCGATTCGTTAAACGAATCGCAGCAATTAAAACCACACTAATGAAAATGAAATGAAATATTTCTTTTCAGCAACGACTACTTTCTTCCTCAAGAACGCCGAATGAACGTTGAATGGATACTATGATATATAAAGCATTGTCAACGTTTATAAAATTTCCCCATTTTCCCCATACGTGTGTATGGTTGGCAATATTTTGGTTACATAAAATGGCAGTTCGACCAATAAGAATTTCAGTTTCCTTTAATCGCTATGTTAAATGAAACAGAAATCGTATTAGATGAAATAGGAGAAGAAATATGAATACCGAACCAATGAAATTTGAATCGTTGAAGATTTATAAAAAAAAATTTATTTATTGTAGCACAGAAACTTGAAAAATTGAATTTTCTATATTTTTTCAAAGAAATTTTCCATTCTTGTAAATAATATTATTTACCACAAGAAACCTAATATGAAATTACTTTTGAAAATTTTCATAAACAATTTTCAATTAACTATCAAACGAAAAATTTTAGGAAAAGAGGTTGTTAATCGAACACTCGTTAACAGGATTCATGTATATTTGTTTCATAAATAATATTATTTACCACAAGAAACGTAATATAAAATTACTTTTGAAAATTTTCATAAACAATTTTTAATTAATTATCAAACGAAAACTTTTATGAGAATAGGTTGTTAATCAAACACTCGTTAACAGGATTCGTGTATATTTGTTTCATAAGTTTTCAGCTACTTCGTAATAATAAAACATAGACAATGAAATGTACAATACATAAAGTGGATACTACACACAATCTCTTCCTTCGAACATTAATCATAGTGCTATCAACTTGTACCAAAGGTTTTTTAAGGGAATTGTATTACAACAATGATGGATGTGTGCACTTATTTTACAATTACAAATTAATCGTTACAACCTAATTCTTCAATTAATCTAACTTAAAACCAATCATCGCATAATCTAACAATAGTCGGCATTTTACAATAATTAATTAATTTGTACAAATCTGTGATCTCTTTCTACATGTACGACTAACAAGAAGAATAACATTCAAGAATGGAATCAAGCAACAATTTCGTGATAAAGGATTAAAGTTACAATAATAAAATTGATCTTTTCAATCGATTAAAAAAAATCACATCATAAAAAAGGATAAAAATAATAGAATGCATCAACTATTTAGAAACATCAAGAAAATGTTAATGCAATAAAAAGAAAGTATTAAATCATGATATAAAATACAATAAAAGATATCCGAATCGTTGTTTCATTCCATTCCTATTTCACTGAAAATAAAACTCCTTTTTTTGTACGTCGATTTACCGGAAAGATACGTCACAAACGACTATTTGCATTACAAATTTTCACGCGGACACTATTATTGAGATACAACTATTGACTAGTAAAACTTCGAACGTGACTAGTAAACTGTCCCTTTTTCATAACTTAAGATTATCGGTGTCGCGAACACAGTATACCAATTTTTAACATATTCTTACTAACACAGTAGATTTACGAGAGGTGGCTGTAAATTTCTTGCGCAATTGAAATTTCCAGTCAGATCTCGTAAATCAGAAATTTTGCAAAATAATAATCTTTATTAATCATGTACTCTACTTATTACCCAAAGTTCATTAACATTATGCAAATTAGCCATCGTTATTACATTTGTTATCTAAGTTTCATTAGAATTTATATTAGTATATTTTAATACTATTCTATCTTCCCATCGAATTTACTAAAAATGATTAAGTTAAATAACGTGCAAGTATTTCAGAAGAATTATTAGTGATTATATCGACTGTATTGTAAACAAAAAATACTTTTTTGCTTGTTGATTTACCATTAAAAGAGACGTTATGAACCGTGATTTGCATCACAAATTTCGCTCGACCACCATCAATTCACAATCCTTATTAATAATAAATTATTCGTTCTGTAATGATAATTAAGTAACCGATATTTTCTCGTTGATACTTGTACGGAAATTAACTTCATCAAGTTTAATAAATTCAGACGAAAAAATAGAACTGCACAAAATTACACTAAATAAATTCTTGTCAGTCAATTTTTCTTTTAAACAACAAAAAAATTCGCAAGAAGGCTTTGGAAACCCGTTCAACGAAGGTGACAAAAAGTGTCTAAGAAATTTTCGCCAAAAAATCTGCATCGACGATTTCACTACCAAGAACAAGACTCGCAAAGATAGCGACAAAAATTCACGAAATTACCACGAACACCATTATAACTCAAAATCGAAGCTATCCAATGAATTTCCAAATGAAAATCGATCAGAAATCAAGGAAAGCCGGAAATCCCATATCCTTAATGAACTTGGTAGATCTTTAAGGATCACGGAATATATTGATCCTGGCTTATTGATATTCGATTGATTTCATCCCGTTCAACGATGAGGTTCGAAAAATTAATTGGAAGCTGGATTTTTTCAAGATTAATTTGTCTGATGTTCGTTTGCCTCGGTGTGAACAAATTCCTAAATTTTTTATCCGAAAACGCCGAATCGCAGTTGAATTAATTCCGTGATAAAAGTATGGAGATGAATTCCCATTCTTCGTCCACTTTGTGTGCTTTCGATGATCTGCGCCCAGACGAATCACCAGTCCATCTTTGTTTGTCCATTTTGTTTCTGCGAGTAGAAGATTTCGTTTCATCCTGTATTTATTCGCTGGTGATCGGTTTTTTGAAAATATACTATTTTTATATGGAGATTCCTAGAAGGATTTTGGACGTTGATGAAATTGGTTGTCTTTGATGTTGGGATAGAAAAATCGGAGATTGTTGATCTTTGCGGAGATTTGTTGGTATAAATATCGCTTTGAATACTGGTTTTAAAATTTACAAATGTTAAATATCAGAACTTCAATGGGTAACCATTTAAATATTTTCTTTAACAATTCTTACATTCCTCTGAAAATATTCAAGTTAATTAATCAACTTGAATTAATTCAAGTTTTTGAAATAAAAATGTAATCTAATTGCTCACATAAGAGTTACCTGTGACATAATCTAAATAAAGAATTATAAATAATTCTTCGAAAAATGATCTAGAATTCTAACTATACTAATTTCATTATTTACTTGTTATAATTCGAAGCTATTTGAAGAGACATGGAACACACCGTTACTAAATCCTAAATCCCCATTGGAATGTACACAGTTAATGAAAAAGTTGTTGTTTCCCTAAAGGGAATCACAAGTTCCATTTTGACCTTTCAAAGTCGCGTGAAATGGAACCGAAAATTTCAATTTCTCGATATTTGAATAATAATAATAGCGAACGTTTGATATACGTGATCTTTCAATTTCAAACTTGAATCGAAATCAAAGAAGTTCCTTTCAGAAGAAAATTTCAAACTGTAAAAGAAAAAGAAGAGTCTTCGAGAAATTCTAAGCCAATTTTCCACTTTTCTTAATTCAAAGGCAAACTGTTGCATAACTATAAGTACACTTAAGCCTGGTGTGTAACAGAGATCGCGAGGGAAGACTTGAACGATTCAAGCGGAGACGAGACTATGATAATATATTCGATGAATACTCTTGTTATTGGATTACCAATGGGAATATTGAACTCGAATCTCCTCAAGATATCCGGAAACGCTCGATAACAGAATCGAAGGATAGAAGAAGACAGTATGTGCTATTCACCAAAATTGTTGCACGATGAGAAACAGCAACGCAACGAAGATACGATCGAGTGACGAAGTTTCTCGCTTAACTGCCAAAAAGCTGCGTATAAATAGGCTGGTTGACAAAAACAAGACGACGGATCGTGTTGGGCGGACATGAAGTTTTTAATCAACTGAATTCTAGATGATACCCGACCAAATGGCCCATTAATATCTACAGAATGGCACCATTGTGTTCTGAAGCTTTTGAAACAGGTGAAATTTAAAGGACATTAGAAGAGGAGTACAGATCGACTAATAAATGCTCTCGACAGTTTCTTGGACCAGTTTACTACCGACTAAACGCTAAATACCATTTGCAAATAATCAAAATTTTATATCCCTTTTTTATTTTTCAAGAATTCTGGGTCGGAGATTATTATTTTTAAATAGTAGTTGGATCAATTTCATGTGAAAGGAATTTGTAATCGAAGGTTTTAAATAAATAAAAATTTGATTGCTTTCTTACCTACAAATGAGTGATAACACTTTGCGAAACAGCTTGAAATAATTTTCAACGATGCACACCGGAAGCGATGAGATTTTTTGCGGAAATTTCTTGGGATTCCAACGAAGCTTTGCCATCTCAGAAATGTTTGATTTCGAAACGGGACGAACGTTAGGATGTTCGAAAGGATCTCAAGAATCTTCAAGCCGTACCTTCCGCGAGTATGGCTTTATTTATCTGTAAAGTGGAACGTTTAGGGAAAGAAAAGCGAACGATAACGTGGGACGATCACAATTAGATACTTTCATTTTTTCAATGATAAATTGCTAAATAAATAACTTAATAGACAAATCACAATATTGTAATTTTTCAGGAAAATCTATCGAATCAAGAATTTTCCACGAATTCTGATAAATTCCAAATATGAAGATTATCAAAATGAAAATTTTAAATGAATTATAAATGCAAAATTATTTGGTTCGATAGAAAATTTTAAATATTCAAACACGTACCACAAGAACATAAATAACGTCGAGCTCATTTTGAAAATTGATACTATGAATGATGAATTTTACCTTACTGATTCTTTGTGAACTTTGATGGCTTTAATCAGATATAATTAATCACCGACCGGGATTTTAAATGATGAAACAGCAGCTCGAAAAACCGTCCTTCTCCACGCTACCATCGTGCGTCCTTCTTGCAATTATCCTGGCAACTCGCGCACGATTCCATCGAGCTGCTCGAACTGCGAGTTGATCGCGAGCCGATCCTCTCGATATCACCCATTCGATTTATTCGCATCGATTTGCACGAGATGGCGTTCGAGATGGCGGAAAATTTAAATCCCTCAACTCCGTTACAACTTTTGCAAACAGTGAAAATTTTTGAAATTCCTTCAGTAAAAATTTAAGTGAAATTTAAAAGCTAAATTAAGCTTCTTTTTTTTTGCAGAAAATAAAATTCGATTTTGATTCCTGAATTTTATGTGAAATTCTCGGTAATAATCGTAAGCAGCCTTCACAGTAGCGAGCACGTTAAATATTCGAACATGATGCAATCTAAACCAAACATGAAACTCGCGCGAAGAACAAACATATGGTCGAGGAAAAACTTGGATCGCGTTTATGTTTCGCGGATCCCACGATAACTAGAAGCTTACAATTATAATACCATCCTATCTCAGTTTAATACAACCTTATA